GGGCTCCCCGCGCTGCAGCTCCCCAGGGAGAAGACGGCCAGGAACAGCAGCAGCAGCATCTGCGGGGAGAGGGCGTGGGGTGCGGGCTGGGGACTCAGACCCGGGGTCAGCGGTGGAGGGCGTGGGGTGCGGGCTGGGGACTCAGACCCGGGGTCAGGGGTGGAGGGTGTGGGGTGTGGGCTGGGGGCTCAGACCCGGGGTCAGGGGTGGAGGGTGTGGGGTGCGGGCTGGGGGTTCAGACCCGGGGTCACGGGAGAGGGTGTGGGGTGCGGGCTGGGGGCTCAGACCTGGGATCAGGGGTGGAGAGTGGAGGGTGTGGGGTGTGGGCTGGGGACTCAGACCCGGGGTCAGGGGTGGAGGGTGTGGGGTGTGGGCTGGGGGCTCAGACCCGGGGTCAGGGGTGGAGGGTGTGGGGTGTGGGCTGGGGATTCAGACTCGGGGTCAGGGGAGAGGGTGTGGGGTGTGGGCTGGGGGCCGGGAACCGCCTGCAGGCATCGGGGAGGGGACGGCGCCCTTACCATGCCGGGACTCAGCAGCTGTCTTCCCCAGCCCCTGGGAGCCTCTTTATCCTCAGCCACAGGAGGAGGGCAGCAGGAGGGTGGGGCCCTGTGGTGGCCTCAGGTCCGAGAGGTGTCTCTTCACCCCCTCCTCCTCCTCTGTGTTCTACCCACACCCCAAGTCTCCACCCACCCCGCAGCCCGGGCTGGCAGGACAGGGGTAAGAGGAGAGGGTGAGGGCAGAGTGTGGCTGGGACGGTGCTGGGGCCCTCCGGTCTGCCTGTTCCTCCAGGAGGACGCCACAGCATGACGGGGCTGGTTCGGAGGGCCAGGCCCTTGGAAAAAACTCAGGTCTGGAGCTCAGGAAGGAGCCCGAGGCAGCGGCAAGGCTCTGCCTCCCACCGTGGGGTCTCCAGGACAGTTGCCAGTAGTTCATGTGCTGCAGCACCCCGTGCAGGCGAGAGGTTGCCCCGAGTGGAGGTGCGGCTCGCTGCCAGGACAGGGGCCACAGGCCCAGCAGACTGTCCAAGGAAGGTGCCCACTGTGACGGTGCCCACCGCAACTGGCCAAGCCCACTCTGGCCAGATGTCCTCCAGCCGACTCACCCTGGGGTCTGCATGTGGAGACACCTCCATGGTGGGTGTGGTTGGGGTGAGGTCTTCAGTCCTCAGGCCTTCGGGACACAATTGAGTCAGGGTCTGGCTGTGTCACCCAGGCTGGAGTGTAGTGGCATGAACACAGCCCACTGCAGCCTCCACTTCCTGGGCTCAAGCAATCCTTCCACTCAGCTCTCCCAAGGAGCTGGGACCAGCGGAGCACTATGCCCCAGAGACAGGAGAGAGACCCATGCAGTGCTGACCGGAGGGGCCCAGGGGCAGAAATGCTGCCCTGGACGTGCCGTGGCTGCACCCTGGGTCTCGGGCAAGAGCTTTGGAGATGTGGCTGCGCCAGAGCCGTGGTTCTCCCAGGGAGCACGGGACTTCGAGGACAGAGCCAGGACCGGCAACCACAGAGGCTGCCGGAAAGGCAGGGAGGGAAGGGATGGAGAGGAGAGAGATAGGGAAGAGGGAGGGAGGACCCGGGAGGAGAGTGGGACTCGGCTGTCCAGTGTTGGAGGACTCGGGGTGCCCCACATCCTGCAGCCCAGGTCATCTGTCCCCAGCCTCAGTGAAAGCTGGTCCTCCTCTGGGAACCCCCACCAACAGGTCACAGGCACTGTGAGAAAGGCCTGGCAGCTCCAGGCCCCTCCCTCCTCCAGCGGGTGCTGGGACCCCAGTCAGAGCTAATGAAGGGGCCTCGGGAGATCACATCCTGCCCAGAGTGTAAGGAGCCTGACCCCCATGCTTCTTGAGGCCCCACAGTCCCTACTCTTCCCTCCCTCCCTCTCTGGCGTGGGCCCCCACCTACTCCCCAACTTCTTCCTAAATCCTTTTCTCCAGTCTTAAGCCTTAAGCCCCTCCCCAATCTCTGTGTGCCCCCCACCCCTGCAGCACACCTCGGGCTTCCCAAGTTGGAGGTGCGTGTACTTGGGGTGGGCAGTTGGCACTAAAAGCCAGAAGTTCCTCGGCCAGAGGTGAGGAGGTCAGAGGTCCCCCGGCCCCTTGCCTGTCAGGCGGATGGACAGACGATCCCATCTGATGGTCACAGCCACGGCAGGGTGGCGAGTCTGAGAGCATCAGGCACCCAGGGAGACCCTCCTGCTGGGGCCCGGGGGCGGAGGCAGCCACTCTGGGCACCCCCTGCCCCATCCATCTCAGGGCGAGGCTGTCCTGCCCCAGCCTGGGGGCCGGCGGGGGAGCTGACGAGGCAGCCAAGCACCCAGAGCTGGAGGGAAGGCGCCGCGGTGGTTTCCCCGGCGTTTCTTCACTGAACTTGCTCAGCCGTTTCCCCGCAGACCCCTGATAACAGAAACCCGATCTGATGCCCAGTGTGGGGACGTTCAGGTCCACCCAGGGTCGAGGGCCCTGTGGCCCATGCAGGCCCCCCGGGGTCCCAGGAAGCCTGGGCTCTGGGAAGAATCCGAAATCCTGGTGGGAGCAGGAGGGGGTGCAGAGAGACCCCCAAGGAAGCTCTCTGTCTTCAGGCCCCTATCATGGAGGAGACCCTCGGAGGGGGGGTGGATCCCCTGTTTCGGAGGGGCCCAGGGAGCAGGAGGGGCTCAGCAGGGCGGAGGCAGGGCCTCCCTATGGCTCCAGGAAGCCCACGTGGTGGGGTGCTCCCGTCTCCCCCAGAGTTGGGGATGGACAGTGTTGGTCCCAGATAAGTGGGAGTGGCCACAGCTCCCCAGCAGGGGCTCTGGGACCACATGGCCTCGTGGTGCCCAGGCTGTGGCTGTGGCTGTGGCTGTGGTTGTGGCTGTGACAGGGCCACTGTGTCCTGTTCGGGGTCTTAAGGGCAACCATGGGGACCCACACCCACAGCGGCTCCTCTGCCTGGAGAGGAGGGATGAGGGAGCAGCTGCTCAGGGGCAGAGCTGGGGTCCCCCAAATTCCAGGGCAGCCAGCTCCGCAGAGACCCCACAGATCAGGGAGGCTGTGTCCTCAGCTGACCCCGAGACTCCGGGGGTCCAAGGAGGAGACCGGGCCGAGGCAGTAGGCTCAGGCTGCTGGCCCCGCAGCGCCGCTCCGTGTCGGAACTGGGGTGCAGCGAGGCTGGGTTTGATGTCACAGATTTGGGGGAATGAGGGGAAGGAGCAAACAGCTGTCCCAGCCGGGGGTGGGTGTTGGGGAGAGAACAGGTAGCTCATGCCTGGGTTGTGGGAACCTGCAGGGAAGGCTGAGCCGCTCAGGGAGCCCAGGCACTGCCTCTGGGAAGCACAGCCCTCCCAGAATGGGCAGGAACCACACACCCTCCCTGTGGGCCCCCAGCCTGGCCTGAAGGTGCGGTCACTCCAGGCTGGCCACGAGCCCTCCAGAACCTTGGGATGTGTACCAGGAAGTCCCACCACGGCCCAGGACGCATCAGAGAATCGGAGACTCGGAGGCTGCTGTTCACACAGTTTAATAGCATGGCAGACCCAGGCAGGAGGCAAGGTCCCTGGGTGCGTCCTCCCCTCCCCCACATCCACAGGACACCAGCTTCTGAGCTTCCCCTGCTGCTGTGTCCTCACCCCCAGGTCAGGGAAGGACGGGGTATTTCGGGGGCCAGGCGGGGTGGACAGGAACAGGGCCTGGAGGCGGGAAGGGGAGCTGAGGGGAGGCCCGGCGAGGATGGCAGGGGGACAGGTCGGCTCCCCAGCTCTCAAAGCCGCCTCAACGCTCCGGCGGGACGTGCTGGCGGACCCAGGAGGAATAGGTCATCACCCGGGTGTAGACACCAGGGTAGTCCCCGTGCCTGGAGGCCACGCCCCAGCTCAGCACGCCAACCTGGAGCCAGGTGTCCAGCCAGTAACAGACCAGTGGGGCCCCAGCGTCGCCCTGTATGGAGAGGACACAGTCAGGGGACGGCCCCAACGGCAAGGCAGGGTCACGGCCGGACACACGAGGCAGAGGTGGGGCGGGTC